CATAACTGGTTCTGATCGGTCATAGAAAGACTTTCTACGTCGGTTAGTCAGGGAACCGACGTAGAAAGTCTTTTTTTCTATGAGCTATTATGATCGGTCATAACTGGTTCTGATCGGTCATAGAGCTATTCTGATCGATCATAACTGATTCTGACCTGTCATAATACTTTCTATGTCGGTTAACACCGATAACCGACATAGAAAGTCTTACTTTCTATGTCGGTTAAACTTATAACCGACACTGTAAAGTCTTACTTTCTAACTTTCTACGTCGGGTAATGACATAACCGACGTAGAAAGTGTTATTTTTTTTAAAATAACCGCATTTTCTTTACGTGATGCTACCTTTCTTCGAGTAGACCCGCCTATTCATCACAGTTCTAGACAAATATTCACAGATCCAAGTACAGTACAGATATGCACAGTTCATATATAAATTTGCTACGGATATATATCCAAGCATGTACAGCATCCAAGTCATGCACGGATATGTACATATGAAACATATTGAAATCAATATATGTACCTCGGTTCCAGACAGTTCATTTACTTAAACGAATGTAAATTTGCTAACTTAAATCAATTCAATCTAAATTGTTACAAGTCAAATTTACAAGTCAAAAAAGTGCATACATTATCAAGTTGGAACATTCTCCCAAAATCCTTCCATATGGTCATAACGTATGGCATGCACATCATCTATTTCTACATTAACACTCAAGTTTGGCATATTTGAAGAGAAACATGGTGTCTCTGGTATATCAAGTACTAATTCATCATTCTCATCAGAAGTATACATGGGTTTTCCTTGTAGAACCACTGACCATCCTTTGTTAGCGGGATCAGTGACATAAAACACTTGTTTTGCCTGAGATGCCATGATAAATGGTTCTTCGGTATAACGAGTATTTTCAAGGTTAACCAAGGTAAATCCAAGATCGTCGGTGAAGATGCCAGTATTAAAATCAACCCACTTACATTTAAAAATAGGTACTCTGAATATCGTGTAATCTATTACCCAAATCTCTTCAATTACACCAAAGTAGCCCATTGACGCCCTTATCGGATATTTATCCTTTGAACTCGAGAAATGCATTGATTCAGCCACCACCATGACTCCACTATTTTGCATTGTGCTTATTTCATCTTCTCCCTTTGTATAAAATGAATAGTTATTTATATCATACCCACCCCAACATATCACATCAAAGTTTGGCTCACATGCTAGCCACTTTAGTGTATCAGAAGCTGTATTGTCACCTTCAACTTGTTGTTTAAACCACTTCAAAAAGCTCTTGTTGTGTTCAGTGATCACCCACTTCAAAAAGCTGTATTGTCACAACTTTTGCACCTCGAGTTCCTCTACCAAGACCTATTCCATGGTAACGAGTCTTAGGTAACCCTATAGCTTCAACTTCTGATAAGTATTTTGTGCAAAACTCAATAGCTTCCTCTGCAATATATCTTTGAACAATTGATGCTTCAGGACGATATTGGTTCTTCACATACCCTTTTAATATCTTCATGTATCGCTCAATAGGGTACATCCATCGTAAGAAAACTGGACCACAGATTCTAACTTCCCTGGCTAGATGAACAATCAAGTGAACCATAATATCAAAAAATGATGGAGGAAAGTACATCTCAAATTGACATAATATGACTGCAGCCTCATTCTCTAACTGATCCAAAACATCTGGGTCCATAACTTTACTACATATGGCATTAAAAAAAAAAGCATAATCGAGTTAAGGAATATCTAACATTCTCTGGTAAGATACCTTGAATAGCCACAGGTAGAAGTTGTGCATCAATACATGACAATCATGAGATTTTAACCCAAGCAATTTTAGATCTTTCATAGATACAAGTCTCTTCACATTGGAAGAGTAACCAAATGGAACCTTCACACCTCATAAAAACTCACAAAAACTTCTTTTCTCTTTTTTAGACAGTGTGTGACATGCTGGAGGCAAGTATGTTCGGTTACCATGAGGTTGAGGAGCTAATTGTTCTCTTATACCCATTTCAACCATGTCCAAACGAGCATTGACACCATCTTTTGTTTTTCCTTGAATGTTAAGGAGCGTTCCGATGTTTCCATATGGATTCATTCCATCTGTAGCAAGTCCAAACCTAATGTTTCTTGGATCATTACCAAAATTCTGGAAGATGGAATCAATTTTTTTCCATTGCAATCCATCTGCCGGATGCCTCAACTGACCATCTTTAATACGACTATCTGCATGCCATCTAGTGAGCTTTGCATCATTTCCATTAGTGAATAATCGTTTCAACCTTGGAACAATGGGAAGATACCATAACACTTTTGCCGGGGTACCCTTCATTACATCATTGTCAGAATCACCATCCTTCTTATTGTATCGTGATTCCCCGCATTGTGGACATTCGTGACAGTTCTCAAATTCTTTCTTGTACAACACACAATCATTCGGACATGCATGAATTTTGTGGTACTCCATACCCATTGGACACAATATCTTCTTAGCATCATAATTGCGGGTTGGCAATGTGTTACCTTCAGGGAGCATGTCACTCAACAACTCAAGCAATTCTGTGAAACTTTTATCAGTCCACCCATTCTTTGCGTTCACATTGAACAATTTTAGTACCGCCGACAATCGTGTGAACTTAGTACAATTTGTATACAAAGGCTCTTTTGCATCATTGGACAACTTCTCGTACACATGTGTATGTTGGAAGGCATCTTGTCCAAGCTCACGAATCATTTCCTCCAGACTGATCATCCATCTCTAGATCAACTTCTTCTTTGTCTTCTACACTTGGCATGTTTAATAATTCACCATGCCATGTCCACTTTATGTAACTCTTTAGGAAACCATCACAAAGAACATGTTCCCGAATAACTTCGATCGGTAATCTTCGCTCATTCAAGCAGCTTAACACAAGGGCAATAGAATCTTCCATCATTATCCGAACATTCATCTTAGCAAATTCAAGGAATTGTTCTACTCCACTCTCATATTCATTTGTTGTTCGTCTATAATTGATCCAACTCCGATCCATTGTTACAAATCTAATTTTCAAAATCAAATTAGCTACAGAAACACGAAATAACTACATTATAATAGCCTACACGAAATCCAACTCCACTCTCAAAATAACTACATTATAATACAAATCTAATTTTCTAAATCAAAATCACGAAAGAATGCCTACAGAAACACATTCAAATGACTAAACTACTTACAATACATCTCTAAATTAGCTAAAGGCACCCGTGATGTTTCTCTCTCTTGATAGCATTATTACTTACCGGATTCAATATCGTAAACCTACAATGGCTAAAGCAAGCACGAAAACTTACCTCTTGAAGACCTACGGAGGTGGCAGGTGGCGTGACGTGCGAGCCGGGTGGGGAGAAACGTATCACAGGCGACGGGCACCAACGACAGTAGCAGCAGGCGGCACGACGTACAACGTTGGCAGGTGGCGTGACGAGCAAATGTGGGTGCGGAGAAACGTACACAGGCGAACGGGGAGCTCTGCTATGGGTGAACTGATGAAATGAAATGGAGCGTAGGGAGAAACGTACACAGGCGAACGGGGAGCTCTGCTATGGGTGAAGTGGTAAAACAGAAGATACTATGTCGGTTGCCCTAACACCCGTCATCAAAGACACTTTCTATGTCGGGTAAATATTACCCGACATAGAAAGTTCACTTTCTATGTCGGTTAAATTTTAACCGACATAGTAAGTTAACTTTCTATGTCGGGTAAATCTTACCCGACGTAGAAAGTGAACTTTCTATGTCGGGTAATATTTAACCGACATAGAAAGTGAACTTTCCACTTACTATGTCGGTTAAAATTTACCCGACATAGAAAGTTTATGATTTTATTACAAAATTACCACTGCGCTACATACTATGACGGGTGGATTACGACCGTGATAAAAACTCGTCATAGAATGCTATTTTTCCACTAGTGATTGTAAGGGCTCTCAAAACTGATTTTTCAGTTTAGACCACCAGGGTATTTTTGTTTGGAAACTTCGTTGATCACTAACTTGAACTTTTCAAAGTGTTTGTTATAATAGAGATCGTATATCTCCATGTGGTCTAGGATTTTCTTTACTTTGTCGTCAAACTCCTTAAGAAATGTGTTTTTGGCAATGGTAGGAATGAAATACCAAATATAATGTGTTTAATAATAAATGAAAGAGTGAAGAAAATTATATGAACTGACAATCACTATTATATTATGGAATTTCATAACATAATAAAAAAAACTAAGCAATAAGGTATCGACCATTACAAGTCTATGTTGTATTATAGAATTATGGAATTTCATAACATGATAAAAAGCTAAACAAGAATTACAACAATTCCATAACATGATATCCTAAAAAGCTAAGAGATAGAAAGATAAATCTTGCACTCCAAATCCTTTTCTTCTAGTATTTTTCTTTTATAATTACTTAGTCCGCACACAAAATCATTTCGTTAAGAATTGACTATTCTTTTCCTTCACGTCTACTGTTGTCCTAGGTTTCCTGCTCAGGGCATCTCTAAGCCTTCGTTTGGATCTACCAATTTACTGTAGTGGGAGAAAAGTAACTGTAGATTTGAATAGAAATATTACGTTTGGATTCATTAATTTGAGCTGATTTGAATAGAAATATTTTCACCAAACTTTCTCCGCAAAAACGAAGAGAAAGAAGATGAAAGTGATATTGATCATACTTAATACCCAAAATACCCTTTTTTTACAGTTTTCATTATTGTAAACAATTAGGAAGAACTCTGGAGATGATTGCAGTGAGCAAAAATCTCACTCACCCACAAACATATGATTAATGTTCTAATGGAAAATGTAGAAATATCAGAATAGAATTATCATCAATATGAATAATAGTAGCAAATTACCACTGTTAATAGAAAGGAGGAGTTCTTCTTTAGTAGTTTCTAAACCACTTGCACCACCTAAGCCTCCACCCTTGACTACAGAGACTAGGGATGAGAGAAGTCCATGTTGGTATAGGAAAAAAACAGAGACAAGAAGGATATGACATCTTTCTTCTTCTTGCATTTTCTAGAGAACTTTGGAAAACTGAAGTGGAAGATTTGTTAAAGATAGGAACGTGTGTAGGAGCTATTTATAGCAAGAGGAAGAAACATGCTGAACATATAGATATGGTTTTGTTAGATTTAAACGGGTTACCGAACCAAGATAAAATTGGAAGGCCAACTGTGTCAAATATATATGGGTGATATGAAGTTGTTTATCAATCTTCCAAACTATGCAAAATCACGTAATGGTGCATCCATACTGAAGAGGTTATAATGGGAAGGATCAGTTAGTAAAACCAAAATCAATCCAAGGTGATATATTGATATGTAATTCAAGTGTGAATAAGTCTCACGTTAAGTAAGAAAAAAAAAGTTAAACAGCATATATGACTCATAATTTAATATTGTAAAATTTTGTGTTAAGAATGATATTAATTCTTTATATGAGTTGAATTCATGTTTCGTTAATATTATGTTCTCTTTTAAAGACCTTATTTATATATATATATATATATATATATATATATATATATATATATATATATATATAACTTTAATAGTGTGTTGAGATTACAATATAAGGTGGTGGTTGTAAAGTTTGCTTTTATCCTTTTTAATGCATTATTATTTGTGTGTAATTTAGAGTTCATTATATACTTTTACTACCGTATGAAATTGGTTTCCTTTATTGTTGAAGGTGGTGCTTCTTCAGTTGCTTCAGGTGGAGTTGGCCAAGACACTACTTCAACTAATATTGAACAGGCTGGAGCTGCTGCGCGAAATGGAAAAAAGACTACAGAAAAACCCAAACCGAAATGCAAATTCGTATGTGCTTGAATGTTTTTAATTAAAATTGAGCATTGCAATATATTTTCGTTACTTTAATGTTTTATGTTTTTATTTTCACATTTTGCGTATTGTATTGTACTTGAATACAAGGAATCTTATAATTGTGTGCTCTATTTTGTCAGAATAAGAAAAAAGTCAATAAAAATAGCAAGCTCAAGCAAGCAGAGGCCAATCCAACAAACCAGACTCAACAATTCATAGGTCTCTATGTCTGTAAGGAACTTGATGGGGTTAAAACTCTCGGAACTGTTGCTTCCTATGATGCTGAAACAAAGTTGTTTAAGGTTTGAGTTTCTTAATTTATGCAACTGTTAAACTGTAGTTCCTAGTCTATGCTCAGATTAATGCGTAAATTTCTTTATATTTGTTTATTATCTTCGTGTCATTTTGCCTAATGATCATTTAGTACATTCTTGTTACACAATTATGCTAAATATCACTCCTTAGTCAAGCTATATAAAATTCATTACTACTTTAGCAGTTAATTATAAACTTTTAAAAAATGTTGCATGGTTTCATTTTAACAATTAATTAATTGTTCACTGACAATTATTTGGATGTAGATTGGGTATGACAATCTTAAGATAGAACACATAGAGCTGGCTGAGGTTTTGAAAATTAAGGCAACAGGGCAAGACATATTTGAGGCTCGACAGCTGCTACAAGAAAGGTATATAATCTACCTCAAAATTTTGTATCAAATAGATAAAGTTCTTGATTCAACATGTATATCTTCCTATCTAACTATTAGAGAACCGAAAATACTTTTGACCTACTAGAAAACTAGTTTTCTTCTGCCAATTTTCTTGCAAAAAATTGTTTAAATTTGTAAAAAACTTATTTCTTACAGTTTTTACAAAAATTTTGCAAAAATATTCCCATGAAAAATGAGAATTTTTAGTAATTATTTGTCTTCATTCATAAGTGTGGATTTATTTTATCATGAACTATATGTAATTGCAGACCTAGTTCAGAGAAGAAGAGTGATGATGAAGAAGAGCATATTGATGATGAAGAAGAGTAGAATGCTACAATAAGCGAAGAAGATTAGACTCCAACAAGAGACTTCAAATGCTTAACAACAAATATTGTTGATGAGACTAAATAAAGGACCATGGTCTGTCTTTTGGTTATGACAAGTAAATTTATATAACTTTTACAACTATTTTATTTGAAAACTCCAACCATGTAAACCCTAATATTTATCATTTCCTTTTCTTTATCACATCATTTTATACACATGTATTTTGAGTTTTACTAGTATTTGGATTTCAATACATCGTTTTACTAATTTTAAGGTTAAAATCATTGGTTGCGTGACGATATAAAGTTTCAGCCAAAAGATTTAGTTTAATTATAGTTTTTTTTTCTCACATATTTAGGTTTTGAACTATTAGATTCGGCACGCATGAAAATAGTTACCTTAGAAAAAATTTCAATTTGACGATGTTCTTATAGTTATGTTCCATAATATTTTGTCATTCTTTTCATGTAGTTGTCTCGATTAACCATATTTTTTTTATAATTCTTTTAATTAAACATGAAATTTACAATTTTTCTAAGTGCATAAAAAGATTACCATTTTAACGTTAGGGGAAATTTTAGATGATATTATTTTCCTCCTTTGTTTTAAAAACTATGCATTATAGTTTTTCATGAGATTGATAAATATATTTTAATTTATTTTGACGTTATGTTTTATAATTTTTTCAATTATAGATGATTTGTAGCAAAAAATTATATTTAATGATAGTTTTTGTCACATATGTATGTGGATTTGAATTATGAGAGCCAATATAGATAGTTGAAAAGTAATTAGCTTTGCAAAAAACTCAAGTGTCATGTTTGATGATCTTCTTCTAAATTGCATAACATGTAATCTGTCCCTATTATTCATATTATCTTGTGATTTTGTTTTCGTAGTTTCTTGAAAGATGAGAATGTTAATAACCATTTTTTTTAGTTCTTTTAATTACACATGAAACCTACAATTTTTTTTAAAGCATGAAACTTACAATTTTAACTTTGTAAAAACATAATATATTATTTTTCTCTTACGTTTTAAAATTACATTCTAGCTTTTGAAGAAATTAATATACATTATATTTTAGTTTATTTAAGGTAAAAGGATTTTGGCAGTAATAGTAAACAATACTCATTACATGTATTTTCGAAGATTATTTTATCTTTTATATAACTCAAAAGGTTATTAATAACTAATTCGAAACATTGCATTATAAAATTTACAACTTCAATAGAAGTAGAAGTGTTATAAAGTAGAGCTTCTATATTATGGGCTCCAAACTTAATATTTTAAATAATCATCATTATCCTCCGGAAATGGATGACATATTAAATAATATTTTAAACTATTATAATAATTTTATTCTTTATCTCATAATCATGGTAGAAAAAATAACCAACGTAGAAAAGCAACAAGCACGTGCAACATGGAGGAAATGGAGCGAAGAAGAATGGGAAAACAGTAGGGTGAAATGTAATAGGGTGGGAGGGGTGCGAAATTGGGAAGGGTGAGGGGTGAAAATAAGCTTTATCGATTGAAAGAAAGACCTTTGCTATTTACACTTCCCTTTTCTTTATTTTAATTATTACCATTATTACCAAATATGCCCTTTTATCTAGAAAAGTTGTAAATCTTAAAGTTCATTTTTAAGTTCCACTTTGATGGTCCTCTCAATCCTTTTTGTCCCAGTTTTACATTTTTTTTATTAAAAATTTGTAAAATTTATCTTAATTTTGTTCCACTATAATCTTATTAAACTTGGTTGTTCTTTCAAAATACTCTATTAATTTTATTATTTTCATTGTTTTTTCAATTTAAAAAAATTACCTTCATGAGAGTTCAAAAATTATCTTTTTTGGATAGGTTTAAAATGTATTTTTTAAAATTATTTAGAAAAATACTTTATAAAATTGTCATGATGATTAATTAATCTTCGAATATATATCTTTTTTATTTTTAAAAGAGAGGAAATAAGATTATGGAATAGGTTGATTGATTAATAAAACTTCAATTATAAGATTGGTACCAGATGTAGTTTTTGTTCTTTTTGTTAGAGAAGATAAAATGCAAAGAGGGGTGCTAAGGAAATGATAAAAAAAAAGTGATGATATTTTGAGAATAAAAAATCATATAATCCTTTAAATAATTATTTTTATTAATATAATAATTTATCAAATAATTTAATAAAAATAAAAATAAATTAAAATTATTATTATAATATTAAAAGAGGATTGATTATAGGAGTTTTATGAATTTGCACGATAAAAGTATCATTTAAAAGAAAAAATGTGGACAACACCACACTATTTGAAAATGAGGAAAACTAAACGTGATAAATAGAAGGAATGAAAAGTGAATTTAGCAAGTGGGGGAGTGTAAATAGCGAAACCATGAAAGACACCCAATTTCTGGCCGTTTAGCGTTTACATTTGCTATTCCGCTGTGTAAACAATTCAAGTCCGTAAGGCGTTTTCTTCACCCTTTCTTTTACCAATGATTCATTCATCAGCTAACTCTCTTATTGGGAGCACCGAAACTGTAACAATGTCATGCTAATTCTATTCTCTTCAATTTACGTTTTCAGGTAACAAATCACTTCGACCATAATTTCCATTTTGCACTTTGATTGAACTCTTTAGGGTTTCGATTGAATTCTGTTTCGCTTCAAGAAGACAGTGAGCAATGCTGGGCTTTTCATATGGAGAAATATTTCTGTTGCTTGGAGCCACGGCTGCTCTGATAGGTTGGGTTATTCTATTCTTATATCTGTTTATCATATGCAAAATTTTATATTATTCATAGTACAAATTTGAATTGTTAAGTGTAATAGGTCCAAAGGATTTACCAATCATATCCAGAACAGCAGGGAGACTTGCTGGTAGAGCTATTGGATATGTACAACTCGCTCGTGGTCAGTTTGAAACTGTTATGCAGCAATCACAAGCACGGCAGGTGTTCCCATTTTCCAAGTTACCAGCAGTATTATAAAACTCACAGGGATTAGTTTCATTGGTTTTCTATCGATTGTGTGTGTTTTTGTTGCATGGGGGCAATAACTAGTTGCTTTCTGGTAAATATACATTAAGAACTTTCTCTACAGAAAACCAAACACACGCTAAGTCATCATATTGGTTGGTTGTAAATGTCTCATGTTTAATTGGAGAAAAGACGATTTGGCATTTTAGAATCTTAACATGTTCTTCACTTTTGAATTTCTTGGACAATAATGTCAAATAAGAGCATAAAAGTTAGGGAAGTGTTTTTCATTCATTTATGAATCCTTGTCCATTGCTAAAGACTTGCTTGACGGAAAACTACATTTTATTGTATCGGTATTTTGTGTTTTAGGTTCATAAGGAACTGCAAGACACAATGGCTCAGCTAGATGCTATTCGTCATGAAATTCGAAGCATATCAATCATAAATCCTGGCCCTTTGACGCGGAGGTTTGTGGATAATCCCGACCAGACATCTGTTCCAAATGGTAATGTTTACAAGATTTGTTTTGGAGTGTAGTAGCGTTCTAAATTTTTACAGACGCAGTTGCTGAGGTTTTCTTTAATCCCGTTATCTTCTATTGATAATATAGACAATAGAAAATCAGAAGATTCAGGAGAGAATCACCCGATTCCCGCTGCCATCAAGGTTTATGGACCAAACCCACAAATGAGACAATTATATACTGGTATAAGAACTGAGTGTGCTTACATGTCTATAAACATTTCCAGGATTCAAATGTAGTGTCTTCTAATTCATGCAATATGCAAAGTCAAGCAACCATTTATGCCAGATTGGCAGAGTCCCCTGCTATAAAGGAATTGTCAGTAAGTAGTCCTGAAGCTGAGAAGATAGAAGACCAACTGCAGCTTACTGTCTTACCCATTTCTGCTGAAAACGCTGGACTATTACCAAATCGGGGGGGTATGATATTTTTTGTTTTATTGGCTTTTCTTATCATGATTTTCTCATCCATGTTGGACAAATATAGAATTTTTTACTTGGTGTTTTTATGTTTACAGTTAGTGCACCATATAATAATATGGTCATTGGTCATGTGTTGTTTTTTTGGCTACCTATCGATGTATGCCATACATGCATATGTACAGATACTAAAATATGTAGCTTCTTTTTAGCCATCACACGCACACCGTGATGTTTTCAGATGTGATTTAGTTAATCTGAATACTTTTTCATTTGAACTACATTTAGTTATCTGGAAGACCCGGAAGCAAAGATTGTTTGCCGAGTTTTATTCATTTTTATACTATGGCACCATTTGGCATGGACTAGCATATTATAAAAATTATTTATTTTGTAGTGAAAATTGCGAATTACGTCTTTTCCTTTATCTTCTTTATGAATGAATGGTAGCTTTTTGTCTCGTCTGTCCATGATTGAGTGATTGATGGGAATCTGTTGAACGATATCTGATGTGAAACAAGTTTTGTTTTGATTTATTAACAGCTGATGTGAAAGGATCTGACATTGTTCTAGAAGCAATTTTGGAGGCAGAGGTAGCTCGTAACGCAAAGGAATTCTTTTCGCAGCCCCAAAACCAAATCAAATATGATTGATTGGGTAATCCTACATAGTACCTTAGATGTTGAAGTTTGTCGCATTATTATTAAATACAAATAATAGGGTGTATCTAATATTTTGAAGATATTGATTCTTCAGTTTTCTTTTCTAGCTGTTCAGGCAAGAAAATCTGTCGGAGTTATTTTTAGTGGTTCTTCTCGTCTCCCTAACGAATATCGAGGTTATGACTAACTATTTGTATAAAATTTTCTGTTTTCTTCTGTTTGCTGTATGGTTGATGATGCATTAAGCTTCTTTTAAAAGTGTTTTAGGACTCTAGTTCTGGCTTTAGGCAGGGTATTACCAAGTTTTAGTGTTTAAAAACTATGTTAAATTTAATTTTGAATTCTAAATTAGTTGATAATTTTGTTTTTTAGAACTTAAAAAATTAGAGCTTAGAAATTTTGGGTGGTGAAAGTAAGCTCTTAGATTTTGGATTTTGATATATAGAAAAAGAGAAAAATAGAAATAAGTTCTTAAAAGGTTATTTTTTACTAAACCTGGTAGTAGGTGGACATAATTTTTTTGCAGAGATATTTCTAGTGGTATAAATATTCATTAATGTGATTTGGATATTAATGAGTTTTTCAATGGTGATGAATTTTTTATTTATTTAAATAATAATGTACTTTCATTTGAAGAAAACTAATACATGTGTTTGGCTAATGTTGTATTGTATTAATTGATTCACTCTTCATAGGAAGAACGATGATGGATGATGTTTATTTTCAGCAATATGAGGATATTTGCAAGAGTAAATTTGAGGGAAAAACTTAGCTAGTGTTCATTTACTTATTATCTCTCCATGTAACTGTGTATGATATCTTAGAATAGTGACTGCCATTGGAAAAAATATTTTCAAGGAGGAAATCTATGTAGAGATTCATGCTCACCTACATGCAAGTAGTTATTGGGCCTATTAAAGTAGGTTTAGCATGACAGAATGATATGAAAAGATTGAGAAATAAGTGAAGTTAGACTAAAAAATTTGTTATCTAAATTAAATCAGGTTTTGTTTTATTCGGCCTATTTAGGTTATGACATGAATGAGCTTAGGTCAGATTAATCCAAAAATTTGTGGGTAGGCTCGTTTTATAGAATAATAATTATTTTTTAAATAAAAATAAAAATAACATTATTTTATTAATATATATATATATATATATTAAATTAATAAAGGTTCACTTATTTTATAAATAAATATTAGAATAATTTTTTAATAATCATTTATTATAAAATATAATGATTAAGATTATTTACTATTTGAAATTAATAAATTACTAAAAATAAATAATGATAATAAAAAGTAAGTTTTTAATTCTTATTTTGAGATTGAATAAATGTATTTTCTTATAACTTTTATATTAAATCATTACATTTTAAACAAAAATTTATTTCATTAATAAAATTTAATTTTTTAAATATATTTTTATAATTAAATGATTTTGTATGGATGTGGAATTTTTTTTTAAATTTAATCAAGTTAAACTTGGTTTGTTAGCTCGGGCCATGTCAAGCTAATTTTTTTTTACTCGTTTTAAAATATAGGTTAAATTGGACAATAAATTTTTTTTACTTGGCCCATAGGGCCAGGTTGAGTTGGTCTACCCGTTTTGAAAGTAACTATGGTGAAGATTCACCTAACCAGTTTTAACCATGACCATGATAGCTGAAGGTTCAATGCGCCTTTAAAAACTCGTGAGCAGAGCCTTTTGTGTTATGTGTTTAACTTGGGAGAGTTGTGAGTCATATTCAACACATTGTCCGCTCGCATAGTGAGGTTGGGTGTTGGTGGTGGTAGTTTGTGATGAAACTAATGGGAAGAATTTTGAAAAAACCTTAGAAGATTTGATGAAGTCAAATGAAGATGTTGTGTTGTAGTTCACTAGTGTGTTTACATTATATAGGTATAAGCATTTATCTTTTCCTCAAGTATGAATTTTTTTTTTCAAGTATAAGTGTCTTAAGAATTTTTGATTTGTTAAAAATTGTTTTAATTTGTTAATATGTTCTTCAACAAAATTTTAATTGATACATTTTTTAATTAATCAGTTAAATTCACTTAAACAGACAAAGAACTTTTTGAGTCGCAGTTTTAATTGATGAAGAAAGTCTTTAATATGGTAAATCGATCTTGACTTAGTTTTGAAAATTGTGGTTCTCAAAATTAATTGATACATGACTTGTGTTATTAGTTAAAATATTTCTTGAAAATATCTAAAATTCTTTTAATCAATTAAACCATATTTTTATCGGTTAAAACGTTTTTAGAAAGTATTCGAATTTTTTTAATTAATTAAATCACGTTTTTATCGGTTAAAACATCTCGACAAAAATTGACGAGAATCATTTTAATCGATTAAAATACTTTTTTATTAATTAAATTCATTTAAACTTAGTTATTTTAGTCGGTTAAGTTACAAATTAACCAATTAATTCTATCAGTCACTTCAAAATTCATTTGTATAAACATATTACCACTTGCACTTCAAGATATATTTTTGAGAAATCATTTTAAGAAATCTTTTGATATCTGATGTAAGAGAAAATTGCATTTATATCTTTAGAATTCTTTTTGAAATCATTTTTTAGGTTTTTTGTTAATACTTTTGAACAAACTCATTTTGAGATTAGATTATTGTTTCTCCATATTCACTTGATTATTATTTTTTTTAAGCATCTTAATCTTTTATTTTATTCTTTGTAATTTCGGTGTCTGGAATTGTGGGCACGAGTTTAAGTAACTAGAACTGTGGTTGTTGTTATAGGTTCAATAATTTTGTTGTAGTTTTTGGTGTAGATTGTTATTCTATTGTTAATGTTTATAATTAATTGAAATTTTGATTAGTGGAACTCAACTGGAATTGGTTGAGAACTGGATGTAGCCTAGTAGTTTGGGTGAACCAGTATAAAAGTCCATTGTTATTTTCATTACATTTTCTTTCTTATTCAGGATTTTTGTTCTTTAATTCAAAATAAGATTGATTTCATTAAAACTTTGAAATTGGTAATATGTAATTAAAATTTGTAAAAATCTTTAATTAGATCAATTCACCCCCCTTGATCTCAACTTGTATTTCTAACAATTGACACTAGAGTTGGGTTTTGAAAATTATTCAAGTTTTCGATCCTAAAGTTTTTTTTTTTTTTTTTTTTTACAATGGTTGAAAATAAACTCTCATTTTCTAAAGGGACATCTATCAATAGACCTCCATTGTTTTGTTATACAAATTATCAATTTTGGAAGATTAGAAGGGAAATCTTTATTGAATCAATTGATAGAAACATATGGAATGTCATTGAAATTGGTCCATTAGATACTGATAAAGAATGGTTTGTATTAAGTGATGATGAAAAGAAAAAGATTAAGCATGACTGTACTACAAAAAAAATCGTAATTTCTACTCTCAATATAGATGAATTTTTCAGGGTCTCTCAGTGCAAATTTGCCAAGGAAATGTGGGAAGTATTAGAGGTAACTCATGAAGGCATCACTTATGTTAAAAGAGCCAAAAAACACATCTTATTAAGAGAGTGTGAGTTGTTCAAGATGCAGCAAGAAGAAAGCATTACTGACGTCCAGAAAAGATTTATCCACATCATCAACTAGGGGTGTCAAAGTGAGTCAACCCAGCTCACACGAGTTGGCTCACCACAGGTTGAGCTGAAAATAGGTGAGCTCAACCCGACTCACTTCTTGGTGAGCCAGAAATTTTACAACTCGACTCAAACTACCACGGGTTGGTGGGTTAGGTGGGTTGGCTTACTAACTCATATTTTTTTAATTTTTTAAATTATATAGAAACTTTGGATGTAGAAACATATATTTTCTTCCTTTCTTTCTCAACATCAGTATCTTCGTTATTAATTGAAATTAGCTCATTGGATTTTTCATTAATAATAAAATCATCACCAATACAATTTACATTGATACTTTGATGTATTGTTTCAGATTCCATATTGTAAATTAATTTAAAAGAAAGAAGTAAAAAATAATGTATAGATGCTACAATTTTCAAATAAAGATTCATCAATCCAATAGTTTAGGTTATGAAACAAATTCTTACCTTTGAAAGCAATACAATGGACATGGTGTAGTGGTGCGGTGGACAGATAATAAGACAAGTGACCCAAGTGCAGCGGCAAACGTAGTGGTGCAGCGAATAACTTATAACAAGTTTAAATGAGGGTTTGGCTTGTGGCGACAACCAACAATGTAGGGTAGAGATAAGACATGATAACATCAATTAGGGTTACTAAAGTACTATACTTATTTTTAAAACTTAAAATAAATGATTAATTAGGGTTAGTATATTATTATAATTATTTTTAAAATTTAAAATTAATGGTGGGTTGCGGGCCAACCCACCATAAACCGGTTCGAACCCGTTTAACCCGTGGGTTAAGTGAGCCGGGTTTATTTTTAGCCCATAATCGGTAGAAATAAAAAAAATTGAACCCAACCCGGCTTGAACCCATGGTGAGCCGGGTTGGCTCACGAGTTAGAACCAATATTAATACCTCTATCATCAACCATTTGATGGATCTTGGTAAGATGTTTGATAAAGAAGAGTTGAATATCAAAGTGTTGAAATGTTTTGATACGTCTTGGCCACCCAAGGTCACTGCTATTTCATAATCTAAAGAACTATCCATTATGACAATTGTTTCTCTGTTTGAAAAACACAAGGAACATGAAATGGAATGAATAGGTTCAATGAGCAAGAAATCACGGAGAAGAAGGTCAAGAGCATAATTCTCAAAGCAAGTGAAAAAGATGAAAAATCTGGAAAATAAAATGAAACAGAGAATCTTGGTCTACTTGTCAAAAAGTTTAGCAAATTTCTCAAGAAAAGAAATAAGGATAAAACTGTGCAAAAGAGGTATGTAAAGAAATCATATTCAAATTCTTTTAATTACAAATGTTATGGATGTGGCACACAGGGGCATGTAAGAATGGAGTGTTTAGAAAAGACAAAGAATTAAGACAAGAAAA